CAAAGCAAGCAAACAAAATCCTTCAATTGTGACAACAGAATTGGGTCTGCCAGAGGGTGGCTGGGATGAGGGTAGGGATGGGTGGACATACAACTGTTCAGGTGTGAATGTATATACCTGAAACTAAGTGCTGTAAACCATTATCACCTCAATATATTAAGAGACTTAACATAAAACAATAGGAAATACATTTGCTTGAAGAGGTAAAATTTACTGTTACCTAAATTTTTAAAAGCATTTAGTAATCATAATATTAAGATGAAAAACTTAATTTGATGCTTGAATAACACTCATTGGTCAGCCAATAATAATTATTATCATGCACCACTGTATGCTGAGCATTCTATGAAAAGCTCCAGATTTCTAGAATTGTTTGGGAGAAAGGGTGCCCTGAACGAACTCCACAGACACAGGTTTTGTGGATTCCACCCTCTCTACAGATTAAAGTGATTGAGACACTGGGAAGTACAAATCCCACAATGTCATCATCACAGAAAGAAGGATTGCTGGGAACTGAGGGTGGAGCTGAGCAGTGAGGTTTGGTACATAACCAGATATGGGCCTTGGGTGTCTCTTGGCTTTGCGCTCTTGGCTTTTTACCAGCTCTCAGTTGTGCCATTGGGATTCCAACTCAGCGGAACTGGTAAGATGCATTCTCCAATATATCTGCCTCTCTTTCTCCCTGAGTTATTCATTTCTTCATTTCCCCTTCTTTTGTAAATAAACTCTTTATTAACCTTTCTGTGTGAGCCAGCCGTTCAGTCTTATTATAAGTCTCTTCTAAGCACACGGGTGAGGACCTACAGTCAGGCAACTCATTTTATGTCGGGATTGCCCTGTAACAGTTTGGCACCCAATGTGGTTGACCACGTTATACCCAAGGTTGACCAGCCCAAAGTAACTCTCCCTGTGTTGAGCACCGTAAGCACAGTAGGTCTGCAGGACATGTGGCATGAAAGTCTTGAGAAGTTCACTTTTTCCTTGAGAAGGTCTCTTGTGGGTGCATTTTTGGCCCAAACATGGCTTCAACCATGAGTTTAAGTAGTTTTATCCCAAGCCTGAGTTCTTTCAGTTTTCTTCCAGCTGAAGTTTAGTTTTTTTCTTTTTTTTAAACATTTTTATTTTAACATTTATCATTTTTAGAAAATTTTTAGACAGTATTTGCTTCCCCCGACCCCCTCAGATTGAGGCCATATAGAATTTCCTTCCCCAAGGCACCTGTGACCATCACCAGAGTCCCGGGTATGCCTCCCTCCCTCCCTCTGATGCCTCTCCCTCCTCCTCCCCTGCAGGATGTCCCTGTTTTATAATTGTCTGGTTTTGCTTTGTTGTGTTTTATACTGTTATTATTATTATTTGTACTGTTACTGTGTTTTATACAGTATTTTTTACACTGATGTCTTATTTGGTTCCCCTATATTCCTTTTATAAGTGAAACCATCCAATATTTTTCTTTTTCCTTCTGGCTTATTTCACTGAGCATAATTCCTTCTAGCGCCATCCATGTTGCTGCAAATGGCATGAGTTTATCTTTTTTGATTGTGGAATAATATTCCATTGTGTATATATACCACATCTTCTTGATCCAGTCATCTATTTTGGGACATTTGAGTTGTTTAAAAGCCCTTTTCCCTTTAAATATTACCACCAGTTTTATAAACATAAATAATTTGGTAAAACCTGGCATATGGCACATGATTTTGTTTCTATACACATCCATGGGTGGTTTACAAGCCATCCTGACTTTACAGTCTGTGCTTCTTGTGTCTTTTTGGTAATGTGTTTAAGTGACATTTGCTACATTCTTGGTTCTCGAATGTTCTACTTCACCTACTGAGAATGTGCAGCAACAAATTGAGGCTCTTAATTTAGCTAGTAAGAGTATGAGGGACAAGAATCGAGAATCAAACAATGTTTGATTTGGCTTTGTTTTTTTATAGGTTTATTTCTGCCTACAAGAGTTGGGGTACAAGCCAGAGATGCAGGGGGGTGAGAGGATTCACCAGAGACAGAGTGGGGAGCAGAACAGGCAGTTGGACCAAAGAGACTGCTGAGGGGAGCAGCAGGTGAGACAGTAGAGGTCTGCTGCACCACGTGGGTTTCTCCTTGGCTGGGCAGGGATCGAACTGGTGCTGTAGAGGCTGTAGATTGCTTCATAATATGGTGATTAACCCCTTGCACCACCAGGGAGGCCCTATATTCCTTCTTCCCAGCAGGATCCTAAGAGGATGGCAAGCTTGTTTGCCTCTGTTTTCCTCTCCCACCATCCTCAATGGGCAGATATACAATCAGTACTACAATCTTTATTGACTTTGGATGAGCAGAGGATGGTTTTCAGGTAAACCAGGGAGGGGGTTGATTGCCTCCACCAACAGGATGTAGAATCTCCAGAACCAGAGATGGTTGTCCCAGTGGTAGATCCCAGCTGGGACCCCAACAATGGGAGAATGAAATGTTGGTCTATAAAGAGTGTTTATTGGTAGGACTGCAACAGGGAACTCCCAAGCAAAGAAATTTCAGTAAAATTCTACAGCTTGAACATAGAGATAAAAAGGATCCATCAGAGTTTTTTGAATGAATTATCCAGAGATATACCACCCACACGGATATAAATCCAGATGCCCCAGAAAATGCTCATCTAATCACTATGGTGTTCATTACGCATAGTGCCCTAGATATAAGGAGAAAGTTAGCAAAGGTGGATGGCATCACAGAGATGAGTCCATCCCAATCGGTAGACTTGGCATTTCAGGTTTATAATAACAGAGAGGAAAGGAAACCAAAACCTGGATGCTTTTTGTACAGAGGGAGCACAGGACAGAAGTTCAGAGAAACAGTGACAGAATGGGGAGAGCACCCCAGGAGAAGTGAACCCCTAGGGAGAGATCAGTGTACTTACTGCAGGAAAGAGGGACATTGAAAGTACAGTTGTCTCAAATTACAGGTAAATAGGAGACAAAATAATGACAGAAGGCAGGAAAGATGGCTGATGACACCACAACATGATGATTCATACAAGGGTTACAGGAGAGAATATTGATGGAGTGCAAGGTTCTGGAACCAAGGATAGAGGAAAGGAGACAAATGATAGCACAGAGTACAGGCTCAGATGAAGATAGGAGGGAATATGGACAGAGTAGAAGGAATCAAGAGGCAATTACAGAGGAGAGGAGACAAATGGTAGAAAATGGAGAAGGATCAGATGAAGAATAGTGGGGCTCAGGGGTTCCACTAGATCTAAAAGAGCCCCGGGAGGAACTGACCCAAAGACATAAACCCACTGGTCTTGTAAACCCATTGGGGACCTGAGATATTTAAGAAAAAGAGAAAACTTACATGTTACTATCTTGTCTTCTTTTCCAGCTACTGTAGCAGGATACTCCAGGACTCACTTTCTGAAAAAACTCTGAGATGACAAATACGCTCTAACCAATCTTCCTTTGAAAGTTTAGGAGATACGAAATAACATCTGAAATCATGCAATTTTGCTGGCAGTACTTTCTCTTCAATAATTTAATTTTTATTACACAGAAAGGCCTTCAATCTTGATTTTGGTATTTCCTTTTAACTTTTGCCTTTTTTTTTTTAACTTTGAGTTTTTTTTTTTTTTTTTTTTTTGCTTGTTTTTGTCATCTTGGCCTATGAGAGAAACTAAAGAGCTCTCTTTAGTTATCTACAGTCTATATGTTGTATGTCTTGTGTCCTTGCCTTAGCCTCTAGTGGTTGTAAAATTGGTATAGATGGTGCCTATAAATATTGAAAAAAAAAAGTCTCCAGTTATGAGGAAGAACTAAAGGTTATAGTTTGAGTGTCAACATTGCATTACTGATCTGAGCTGGAGCTTTCACAGAGATTAAATATTATTGTTGCTGTTGTTTTTCTGATATCTATGACAAAGCTTCCCAGAAAATTGGGCCTCCCCTGGTGGCGCAGTGGTTGAGCGCTGGGCTGCGAAGCTGTCCGCAGCCTCTAAGGGCACAGTTCGATCCCCGGCCACCAGTGAGGGTCCCACATGGTGTGCAGACCTCTCCTGCTGCGCCTGCTGCTCCCCTCAGCAGTGTACTTCATCAGTTTGCCTGTTCTGTTCCCCCTCTGGCTCTGGTGAATTCTCTCACCCTCCTGGGTTTCTGACTGTACCCAGTGCTTGCATAAATAAATAAATAATTCTTTTTTTTTTTTTCAAACTGTCTTAAAAAAAAAAAAAAAAGAAACGTTTCCCAGAAATGTAAATTGAAGTAAAATTTGGTTGTCATTTGGTTGATCAAAGAAAATTTTGTGGAACCTCAGCAGAGCACCTGAGACACTCCACAAAATTTCTCTCTTTCCTCTGGGGAGAATTTGTCCTATTTGGTTTCCTCAGTAAAGAAAACTGGAAGGGAACAATCATCACTTGGCAAAATGGTAAAACTTTGGCATGTACAGAAATGTTAACACTGTTTTCTGAAACTTGTGTAAAACCTTTCATTACCTATGTAGGTAAATTGCCAGTGTTGATTGTTGTCCCACAATATTGTATATGCCAATGGTTTGGTATCTGTGGAAATTGTTTCTGGAGAAAAAGACCCCAAATGATTCCAATTAATGGAACTTTGACAGTGAGAATTTCATACAAAGGACTGAATAGACTGGTGAAGATAAACCTGACTTTTACTAAGTTTTGGTTGAAATAATACTGGTAATTTTTTTTGCATTTTGTTTTGATTCAAAGGAAATTTTCTCATTTTGACTAACCAGGATATGCAGCAATATTGCATTGTGTTTCCCAGCAGAGTAACTTGTGTTTGCGTTTTCTCTCCCCTTGATACTAACACAGTATGAAAAATAGTGGTAGTAATTTTTAGTGCTCATGGCAGAGTATTTTTGCATAACTTCAATGGGGAATTTTGTTTGCTTAAACTAGAAAATTGGAAACATGTTCCATTGGGTGGCTTTGATTGGAATTCTTCCAGGCAGTTGAATTTGAGCTGAACCAGGAAGAGAACCTGCTATTTTGTTTGTAGGGTTCCAGAGACCTCCAAAGAAGGTGAGGAAGCTGCCTCCATTGGCAGGACTGGATGACTGGGAAAAAAGCAAAAGACCTGGTAAACCTTGAGACGAGGACACACCAGGTGGAGTCTGGTGAGACCAACTTTGTTCCTGCACAGACCAGATGTCAAGAGTTCACTCTGATCCTATATGGGGTATTCCAACAAAGCCAGCTAAAATTGCTGTTTGTTTATTCTGTCCTATGTTTTATGCAAAAATAGGTTAAATGCTTTAAAAGTAGATTGAGTTTGCAAATTTTTGCTATATTGTTGGATAAAGTTGGGATCAAGGTGGACTAGAACTTTAAGATCAGTTAATCAGTTTTTAAGATTTTTTTTCTTCCTGTGATTTTGATATTTTTGCTGTTTTGTTTTGGCTATTTCCTCTAGATGGTTTTCTTTTGGCATGGACTTCACTATCTTCCAGGAATAGAGGACTTTTGTTTGCCACACTTGACAAAACCTGGAGACTGTGGTTTTCCTTCTAAACTGGAACCCTGAGAAATTATCATCTGAGCCTGAACCCCAGCATATACACATCTGACCTTCATCAACATAAAAATAATGGGGGCAACAAGTGAAAGGGGGGAATTGTTGGGGAGAAAGGATGCCCTGAACGAACTCTACTACACAGGTTTATGTGGACTCCTACCCCCCTCTCCAGAGGAAACACCAGGAACTACAAATCCCATAATGCCATCATCATCATGGAAAGATGGACTGGAGGGAACTGAGGGTAGAGTTAAGCAGTCAGGCCCAGGTATATAACCTGATAGGTGGAGCTTGGGGGTTCTCTTAGGCATTTTGCCAGCTCTCCGTGTGCCATGAGGGATTCCAACTCAGTGGAGCTAGTAGAATGCATTCACCAATTTGTCTCCCTCTCCTTGAGTTCTTCATTCCCCCTTCTTTTGTAAATAAACCATTTATGAACCTTTCTGTGTGTGTCTGTCTGCAATGCAGTCTTATTACAAGTCTCAAGTTCTCCGGTGAGGACCCAGTCAGGTCAACCCATTTACATATCAGCGTTACCCTGTAACAGAATCACAGGGAGGAGACAAACCGGGGAATGTAATGGAACTTATCAGTTCAATTGAGAACTCTATTGTATGTTTAATAATTTGTATTGGACTATTAAGGCTGAGTTAAAGAACAAATGGTGTAGTTGATTTATAATATACATCAAATGCCAAAATTAAAAACTCAAGGTACTATGGGGTAATAGATACTTTACATATGGAGGGGTGTTTAGTGGCATGGTAGTATGGTAGTTATTAATCACAACTGATATTCACTTTAGGCATTCAGGAGTATCATAGGTGTCAGATTTTATTGGGCAGACAGGAGGGGGGGGCGGGGCGAGGGAGGAGGGGCGGGCGAGGGAGGGGGGGCGGGGCGAGGGAGGAGGGGCGGGGCGAGGGAGGAGGGGCGGGGCGAGGGAGGGGGGGGCGAGGGAGGAGGGCGGGGCGAGGGAGGAGGGGCGGGGCGAGGGAGGAGGGCGGGGCGAGGGAGGAGGGGCGGGGCGAGGGAGGAGGGGCGGGGCGAGGGAGGAGGGGCGGGGCGAGGGAGGAGGCACAGAGCATAGTGGAGCAGCAGGCACAGAGAGAGGAGACCTTCTGCTGCACCACATGCGCTCTAGCTCCATGCCCCCTTACGGGGGCTAACTCCCACACTCCTTGCGGGTAGCTCCCTGGCCGGGGCTCGAACTCAGGCCGCAGCGGTGAGAGCGCTGAGACTAGCCCCTAGGCCATCCTGGAGGCCCCAACAAGGGTTTAGTTAAATGGAGCCTTTAACTTTTATTAGGAGGCTTCAGGAGAACTACTGACAGCTGCTTCTCCAGCAAGTCAGAAGAGACTATGGCTGCCCTTCCCTTCCCTTCCCTTCCCTCAGTGATCATCACTGTCTCCTCCTAGGGCCCGTGGGCGCTGAGGGAAGATGGCTTTCAGCGGCACCTCTATGTCTTCATCGGTGAAAAGAGGGGGCAAAGATTTTTCAATTTTAAAACAGAAGTATTTTTCATTGATGAATCAGAAGAAACACCTACACAGTTCAGAAAGTAATCAGGATTGTACTGATCCTGAAAGATTTCTTTGGTGATGATCATGTGTAAAATCAATATTTGGAAGTTTCTAGAGATTTAAGTCCACAGACTTCTGATGTCCTCATAGAATAATGAATGCTCTTAGCGAGCTGAAGAGACTCAACAAAAACAAAGTAAATAATCCAGTCACAAAATGGGCATAAGAGCTAAAAAGGAACTTCTCCAAAGAGGAAATGCAAATGGCCAACAGGCATATGAAAAAATGCCCAGCATCACTCATAATCAGGGAAATGCAAATCAAAACTACCATGAGATACCATCTTACACCAGTGAGAATGGCACATATTAAAAAAAACTAGCAACAACAAATGTTGGTGAGAGTGTGGAGAAAAGGAACTCTCCTGCACTGCTGGTGGGAGTGCAAACTGGTGCAACCACTATGGAGAGCTGTGTGGAGATTTCTGGACCTACTAAACATAGAGCTTCCATAGGATCCAGCAATTCCACTCCTAGGTATTTACCCAAAGGACACAGAAGCATCAATTCCAAAGAGCACCTGCACCCCTATGTTTATAGCAGCACTATTTACAATAGCTAAGCTTTGGAAACAGCCCAAACGCCCAAAAATAGATGACTGGATCAAGAAGATGTGGTCCATATACACCATGGAATATTACTCAGCATTCAAAAAAGATAAACACATGCAATTTGCAGCAACATGGATGGAGCTGGAAGGGATCATGCTCAGCGAAATAAGCCAGAAAGAAGACGAAAAACACTGGATAGTCTCACTCATAACAGGAATTTAGAAAACTAAATAAAGGACCAGGAAAAAGACTAATTATAATAAAGTAGAAATCAAAATCAACAAGCAACTATAAACCAGAGACACACTATGGAGGGAGGGGGGCCGGAGGGATTAGGGTCAAAATAAGGGTGGTGGGAATTGTATGGGGAATATAACCAAGATGAAAATGTATACATTGCACAAAAATGAAAAATGATGTAAAATTATATAAAATTAAAAAAAAAAATAATGCTCTTAGCGGCGGTGTTACACGCACTGCATGGTAGCCTGAAAGTGAGCAGACACCGGGGGAGAAGCAGGTCCTTGACTGTGTCACTATTGCTGCTTAGTGACAAGAATTCCCGCTGCCTTCTGACAATGGACAATCTTTCATACACAACATCTGCGTTTTCAATCAGCACCTTGAGGGCCTGGAGCATCAAGCTAGAAGCTCTTACAGGCTGTCCTTTTGGCGTTCTGTGGCGGCTTTCTAACATGGGCGTGATTGATGAAATCACTGGCCCTTGATGATGATCTCAACCTACATCCTCGCCCCCTCACAGGAAATACATACTGATCTTTCCCTCTTACACTGGTATTGTGTACCTTTGACAAATACATACCTATTAGATCAAATATGAATAAAAAATTTTTTATTTACTGACGTTTATTTTTCCTTTATTTTATTTACCTACATTTATTTTAGTTTATGACTATACAATATATAATTTAAGACTATATAATTCTTCTTTCTGAAGGGATTCTCATCATAAGCTGAACATGATTATCTGTTGAATCAATAGATTGGACAGACACAGCAATCTTTGATGGTGTGATAACAGTGAGATATTTGGAATCAGGTAAAAACAAATCTATAAGGCACAAGTAAGTTACACGAACAGATGTTGACTTTCCTTGTTGTACTGACTCTTATCTCTTAATTCACATCTATGGGCCTCATGAGGGGCTATACAAAACCAATGAATGAAAACTCAATTCTGAGATATAACTTTGCTGGCAGAAAAATGACCCGCGGCCACAATGTAGTGCCATTGCTGCTGCTCTGCAATCTCTCAATTAACACATCTGCAATTGTGCACTTATATTTTCTCTGTATTTCCATTTTTTAAAAATAAAGTTCATTGTTGTACATCTTTGTTAGTTCTTTGTTAGTGTAGGATTTCTCCCCTCAAGTGTGGTCGCCATAGTTAACCTACCAGCAAAGCACCTGTAGTCCATGACCTTAGTCTATCCTTTGCACTTGTTTTTTTCATGTTGTATAGAAGAAATGGATTAAGTAGAAGAAGCCATACATTTCTGGGCATTAAAGAATAGTTTGAGTGGTTGTTCAGAATCCTAGAAAAAAATAAGATCGAAATACTGAGGATAAGTAAGCTTAGATAAAAGATAGGTGTATATGATGAAGTAACTTATATCTTGAAAACCAGGGAGTCATTTAGTGGCAGGTGATTTTATCAGAAGGCTTACATCTTGGAGGGCGCAGTGATTTATCTCTCCATATCCTCCAGATATTTCTTAGCTCGTAAGTGTCTTCTAGTACCACCGTCTGAAAATTACAGAAGCTTGATTAACAACATGGGAATTCACACTGCATTGCCTTAGACTAAAAAGAATAATTTGGACTAATAGGCATATAGCAATCATTGGTCTGACATATGCAGGAGCATCAAGAGAGTCCAGAATAATAAGAATACAGAATGATCAATTAAACCAGCAAAGGGGCTGGCTGGAGACAGTACCCTGAGGAGCTGAGCACAGTATATAAAACTAAACTATTGGACTATTTATGGTACTGTATCCCCAGTAGCTAGACTAGATGGTTCTGAGAGTTAAGGAATAGAAGTATGATGAGCTCTAGTCACCATCATTCATACTGACCACTTTATGTAATTTACACTTCTCATCTGTAAAAGTTAATTTCACTGGAATAAAAATCTTGCCTCCATGGGGTGGGGTGAGAAAAATGATTTTACAAGACATTACAATGAGAATACCACTAAAATTAAAGATACAAAGGGCTACATATTTTGTGCATTTATGCTGGCATGCTAATAGGCAAATAAAAGATTTTATCTATTGATGATGATCTAGTTGCCATAATTGTTTGATTAGTAATGATCCTGCTTACTGTGACAGGTGGGGGCACTCACATTGTGAGCAGGAAGAGATATTTTACGACCTGAGGGACTCCTGACACTTATATGCCTGAAATAACTGAACACTGGCATTTGTCACAACCATAACCTGATGGGTATATCCCAACTAAGTCTTCCAAAGAGGCAATCAATGAAGACCGGTGGAAGACTGGCTGAAGCACAGTGATACAAAGTAGAATGAGTGGGAAAAGAGAAAAATGATGTCAATTATGGCAAAGTTTCAACTGGAGCAGAGGGGGCTGTGTCTGCTCCACTAACACTCTGCTGTCGTGACTTTTGTGGTGATCAAGGCACTGTACAACTATGAAGGTCATCTGATTTAATATGCAAGGTATGAAAAGGGAGCGAGCAGTGTTGCTCTATGTTGAAAACATCATGTCCCTGCCTTTTAGCTCTGTTTCAGCTGCTGTATTTGGGGGAGGTTGTTTTGTGTGTGTTCGCTTGTTTGGTAATTAGAAAACTTAGGATGTCTCTTGTGTTGAGGAAGGCAACCATGAGAATGTGAGCACTTGTTGATTCAAAAGTTGGACCTGGGGGGCCTCCCCGGTGGCGCAGCGGTTGATCGCTGGGTTGCGATGCTGCCCGCAGCTGGTTCGATTCCCAGCTGCTCCCCGGCCACTGGAGGAGGATCCCACATGGTGCGCAGACCTCTCCTGCCGCCCGCTGCTCCCCTCAAAATACATAGAAGGAAATATAGGCGAAACACTACGGGATTTGCACATCAAAGACATCTTTACAGACACATCACCCAAAGCAGTGATAGTGAAGAGAAAGATAAACAGCTGGGACTACATCAAATTAAAGAGCTTCTGCACAGCAAAAGAGACAATAACAAAAACAAAGAGAAACCCCACCAACTGGGAGAACATTTTTGCACCCAACACTAATGATAAAGGACTGATCACAAAAATCTGCAAAGAGCT